TAAAGACAATGTTTCCTGTATAGAAAAGCTCCAAAAAGGCTTGAAAGTGTTTTCCAATGGTAGATAGACAATAACCTTAAAAATTGTGTTTCCTGTCTTGTCAATTTCTTTGTGTCAGTCACGCGATAACTATGTTTTATTAATTTTAAAATTCATAATCAAAATCCATGAAGCCTATGCAAATGTATTGCTGGCTGCAGTTCAAATGTGTTCAGGCTCATTATCACTCGTGAAATACCCTGTATAACCATGAACTGATTGTATATCAGGTGAAATAAGTTAAAAATAATAACTGGCTAACTAATTAAATAAATTTTTGAAGATTTCTTTGAATAATTTCATTGTTTATTTTCTTTGAATACCACAATTACTGTTGGCAACGGCCATACATGGCATGTCCGTCGCCTATATGATTCACATACAGGGTGTTCCGTTTTTATTGTTACAAACTTAAACAGGTGATAGAATATTCAATTTTARGACAAAAGTTTCCTATGAACATGTATCAAAAAATGTTACGTAAGCGAGCTACACCCCCTGGAAGAGATGCGTGTTTAATGTTTTTTTTTTCCACTATTGCAGAATAGATAAAATTACAAGAGTTGGTACAGCTGATTACTTTTAAACACCTGAACGAATTTAAAGATCAGTTGTTGAAATTTTTAATCACGGGTCTCTTAAACGGTGAAACAAATTTAATTTTTATCCTCTTTATGGTCTGTAAGACAAATTATAAACTGATTTTACTCAAAAACGCAAAGTTTTACCGAAAAAACGCAAGAGACCTCTTTTTTGTGAAAAACTATGAAATTTAGAATTTTGTGGCTGAAAGTGGCAAAAACCAACCGCCCAAATAGTTAGGGTACTTTTTTGAATATTCTATCATCTGGTTAAATTCGTAACAATAAAAATAGAACAGCTGTATAATTCGATGTTGCCAACTCAATTTCAAAATCATAAACCACTCTATTTAGAATTTATCTACTTTGAATACAACATTTTATACCGGCAACAGCCATACCACGTTGTAAAGCACCAGTTCTCGTCCGATCACTGAAGTTAAGCAACGTCGGGCGCGGTCAGTACTTGGATGGGTGACCGCTTGGGAACACCGCGTGCCGTTGCCATTTTTTTTAAATTAACAAGTCGGTTTTAAAAAAACGTATTATTTTGCTGGTGACGTATAGCACAACTCCAACCACATGCTGTCTTCTTCTTTTGAATTAAATTATTTAATTGTCTACTTATGAGTATAATAATCTTATAAAATAAATAGATTTGTTTTTGATAAATTTCAGTACCATTTTTTTTTTCAATTTAATAAACTTTTAATTTCAAAATTTACTAAATATTTTAAAATTTGCCTTCATTTTGGTTTTATAAAACTAGGTTGTTAATATACAATTGTACCATTTACAAAAAAAAGTTTATAAAGTATATTACACTTGGTTTAGTAATTAATCCTTAAATCGTAGAAAACACTGGTAAAAAGTTGAAATTGTTATGCAACCAACAATACACGTAATGTCTTGACGGGGACTCACATTTTCGAATTTCTTGCCCGCTTCAAGGTCAATAATCGTCCAATCACCAACATTAAGCAACGTCGAGCGCGGTCAGTACTTGGATGGGTGACCGCTTGGGAACACCGCGTGCCGTTGCCTTTTTTTTTAAATTAACAATAACCAACAACGAGTCGGTTTTAAAAAACGTGTTATTTTGCTGGTGGCGCATAGCACAACTCCAACCGCATGCCGTCTTTTTAACTTTCGAATTAAATTTCTTAACTGCCTACTTATAAGTATAGTAATCTTATAAAATAAATAGATTTGTTTTTGATAAATTTCAGTAAACATTAATTTTTAATAAACTTTTAGTTTCAAATCTTGCTAGTATTTTGTAATTTGCCTCCATTTTGATTTTCTAATAAACCTATGGTTCAAAAACGAAGTAAGTTGAGCGATACAGGCTAAACATTATATCAATTTTGATTTAATTGTGTATTTTTTTGCCTGCTTTAACAAAAGTTTTAGAATTTTTATTGATTTTATATCAAAAACGTGCAACGTAGTTTGTTTTTTTTTTAAATAGAAATTACCAAGTCAGAACTTTGGTGAAAAAATTGGTAGCAGCTTGTCTCCATAGCCACAAATTTTGTTTGCTCTTTGTTTTTGTCTCTAGAAATGTTGTTAAAAAATTATGGTTATGTTTTTAAATTGAGATGTTGTCAAAATTGTGACTTTTATGAATCTTGTGTGCCGGTTTGCTCTTTGAAAGCACTATAATTGAACACCTGAGGATAGACATCATTACCTAAGGTCTAAAGACAGAATTCAGTGCTAATAACTTTGATAGAAACACACCGCAAATAAGTACCATTTTGTGGACAAAAATGAGGATCTTGCAACAGAAAAAGGATTATTTAGCAAAAGATGCAAGTAGGTATTATGATTGGCAATATATTGGCAATAAATTTTGTGTAATTTATTGAAATGAGCTCAATATTGATGCATTTTTTAAATGCTTCTTCACTTTCGTTTCAAAATTGTTACTTGTTCAACTCGTTTCTCAAAAACGATGCACAATACACTAATTTAATTGCGTTCTTTCCGAGGTTCTTTCTCATTCATGTTTATTTTGTATTCTTATCAATTTTTACTAAAAATTGAGAATGTTTAGCAAACCTGCGTTACAAATTGCGTCTACATTTTAACGGGTCCTTGTTCTAACTTCCTGCTTGCGAACTATTCGTTTCCAAATCTCTAAAAACTGTTAGTGGTACCGAATTTGTTCATTTTTTGGTGTTTCGTCTCTAAATTTCCTTAGACGATTTTTTGTGTTGACGTTTAATGACATTGTTTTCAAATTAATTCAAAAAACCAGAACTACTAACTTCTTTTATTAAAATTACCAGGAATGAATTTACTAGTGGTGCCAACGTTAAGACTGTTTGGCATTTCCATTTAAAAAAAACAGACTTTACTTGAAAAGGGCAAAAAGTTTATTTAAAAAAAAAAAACAAAACTTATTTTTAAAATACCTATTACGAAATAAAGTGCTCAACAGATAAAAATGTTTTTTTATTAACTTCTCGACGACGCCTAAATTGAAATTGCGCGAAAATATCTTAGAAAGTAATCAATCGTCTGATTTTTAATGTTGTTCTCGCCTCAAAATGGTTAAAATTTTGAGAAAATTTTTAAAATTGTGTTATTTTCTTTATTGTTTTGGAGAAAATATATTAGCAGGTAGATTTTAGTAGTCTAAAATGATGCATGATGCTTTGTAAAATGAGTCGTCGTTTTTATTTTTATTAATTGTACAGGGTGCTGCATTTTGGATATCCGCATTGGGAATATCCGGAATAAAGAGGATTAACCAAAAAAGGGGCCACTCTGAGGCTTACTTTTTGAAAAAATAATAGCTACGTATATTGGTTAAAACCGCATCCTGCTATCGTCTTTTATTTTCAACTTACAGACAAAAGTTGACATTTTAGCGAAATCTAAAAAAAATCGTATCTTCGTTATTATAGAAGATACGAATTTGAAATAAAGAATTTATAAAGCACTTTTTTACGTAGAATTTAATAATGTAGTTAACGAATTTATTGTTTTTTTGTTTAGCCGTAATAAGATAAACTTATACTTTTTTAAATGGAAGTCGTAGGTGGCTATGGCAATTTTTTTTGATTTAAAAAATATACTTATATTTGTCACAGAATATTTTTTTATAATTATACTTTAAAAATCAAAATACATATTTTGTTTGATAAATGATAATAGTTGGCTGTGGAAAAACTATTTTACTTAAAATGTGGTATGTGCAGATAAATAATAATAATCAATAAAAGTGTTGTGAACTGTAAGATTGATAAAAAAATAGATAAAATTATAAAAATTGTAAAAATACCATACGTGAGAAGTTTGCAAATATGCGCCTTCCAACAAAAAGAATAAAATAATTACCGACATGTTTTTTAAAAATCTAAAAATATAAAAAATAAATGTGTCAACAGTTAACACAATTAGAAAAAACATTTTTTGAGGGTCTAATAAAGGTAAGATAAAGTTCCACATAGACGAAATTTGAGTATTTGAATAGCCATAATAACATCGTCATTTTTATGTCAAAAATATATTTTATTGTAGAATTAAAATGGCTTTTTTACAACACTCTGTGTGTCATTAGCATTAGAAGTTGCAATGGTAATTTTAGCTTGTTTTACAACTAAAAAATATTTATTATTTTTTTATTATTAAGTGCTTAGAAAACTCTTTTATTAGTAACACTCGTTAAATAATATAGTTTAAATTTTTTTAGTTGAAGATGCAACATTTTTTCATGGCCAACTGCAACCAAAAATCAAAGATAACTTAGTGCATAAAATTAAGTATTAGAGAAAAAAATTAAAAAATATAATTTATGTTCATGAAATGAAGCTCTAGAAGAGCTCTAAGTTTCAAAATCTATCTCCCTTAATTAATTTGAAATAGTATATTACATAACGAGCACGGAAAGTGATAAATAACGCGCAAGCGGGAAAGTTGCGCACGAGGTGTTAGCCGAGTGCAGACAATACCGCGAGTGCGTTAGACACTTTTCTGCAAGTTTTGTACACTATTTTTCCTACGACCATAAATAATTTTTTTCTTACGAACATATTTTTTTTTTCATAACGATTTATTTTTTATAATGTATACAAAAAAAATACGTTGAATGAAAAAAATACAAAACATTCGAGTGTGAATTGTGCACAGGTGTGTGAAATCGCACAGGTTTTTGACCTCGTACGATATTGCCAATTTTCGCGCATATGTAATTGTGCGTTATGATCTAGTTTCGTATATGGTTGTAGGAAAAACAAATTACAATTCACCCTTTAGCAAAAAAAACAAATAAATTGTCAGTTTGCAGGTAATTAGAAACTTAGAAATAATTATTTTTATTATGAGTAATAAATTATCAGTAATAAATTATTTTTATCAATACCTATAATCGATTTTCTTATCACTAATACAAGTACTTAGGATCTTAAAGTAGAGATTTATTCATTTGAAAAAGTCAACGAAGCAGGAAAATGATTTTTCTTGTTATTTGCTTATGTATTCTTGCGTTTTCAGAGGTAAGTCATTTCTGAAAATCAATGTTATTAAAATTTTGGATTTAAGGCTTCCAAATGGGAGAACGTCACAATCGCAGTGGTAGAATATAAACTGCTAGTAAACAGTTCTTTGGAAGAATCGGAAAATGTAGCACAAAACGCACAAAAATACATCGAGATTGTCAAAAATGTAACAAAAGAGCGAGTAAGATGCTAAATAATACTAGAAAAAAAAACTAAAAATTTTTTATTTAGAAATTAGACTTAATTGTATTTCCTGAAGACACTCTTTATGTTCATCGTGAAACCGCTATAGCAATCCAGTTAGACAATCCTTGCGATTCTGACTCTTACCCTCAGTTTATGAAGGACCTTTCTTGCGCCTCTCGATCATCACAGACTTACATCGTTCTAAATCTTGTAGAAAAAGTTAAGTGTGATGAGGCCCAAACCTCAAGCGACAATTGCAAAAAGTTTGGTTTTTATTTCTACAACACTGATGTGATTCTTGACCGAAATGGCACTATCGTGAATCGGTTTGTATAAATAAACAAAGTTTCTTGATTTAATATTATGTTTCAGCTACCACAAATACAATCTTTTTGGGGAACGCACAATGGACAAACCTGAAACACCCGAAGAAATCGTCTTCGAAACAGATTTTGGCATAAAATTTGGAATTTTTACATGTTTTGACATTTTATTTAAGACACCAGCTCAAGAGTTGCTCAAACGTGGTGTCGATGCTGTGATTTACCCCAGCATGTGGTATTCCGAGTTGCCATTTCTCGCTGGTAATTTTTCGATTGTTTTGGTATTTTTTTATTTCTCTTTTGGTAGCCATGCAAACGCAACAAATGTGGGCAAACCGTCACAACATCACTCTGCTTGCTGCTGGTGCTAATAATGTTCAGGTTGGTAGTGGTGGAAGTGGGGTTTACAGAGGTGTGGATGGTTTGGTAGTGGGGGGAGTTGTGGCTGAGGGTGGCACACAAGTTTTTCTCTACCAAGGTGACAAGAATGGGGATTTTGACGAAGACGTGGATGAGTTGGCGAAGAAAATGGACGGTTTTTATTTACAAATAGATAACAGTTTGGAAGGTAAATGTTTTTGGGTGTTTTTCTAAATTTCAGGAGAATTTTTCAGACCCAAAATATAGATGGGAGGTATTGAACACCTCTGTCAGAAACCACTACAATGTTCTTTGTGGTGGTGATGATGAAAATACAATTTGTTGTCATTACAGTCTTACAATGTCTACGGAAGAGATAAAACCGGATATGAAACACTACACTTATGTCATGGTGTCTTATTCAGGTATTCGTTCGTATACAGGAGTTTACAATGGGGGTATGGAAGTTTGCGGTATAATCGCTTGTTTGAATTCTTCGTTGTCTTCTTGTGGTCAAAGATTTCCGAATTATGAGGAAATTCAATGGCCTGTGACATTCGAAAGTATCACAATTAGCGCACAATTTGAAAAAAGTGAAAATCGAACACAATTTCCCAACTCACTCTTGAGTTCGATACGACCCATTGATACGAGTGAAACATCCTGGGATGAAAAAGATGTGGAGATAAATGAAACTATTTTTGAGGAGAGAAGCTTTACAACCAGAGCTCAGAATAGGTTATTAACTTTTGCGATTTTGGGAAGGAATTTTGGACTAGATTCGTCTGCAGATAATGATAATGATGATGATGATTCCAATCATTCAAGTAGCAGCTTATCAACGTCTGGGATTCTATTGTCTTGTTCCTTTTTAATTTTACGTAAAATAAAATAAAACAAAACACTCGAGACTTGTTTCTTGGTTTTCCTCTTTTATTGAGTTTACAAAATATGCGTTAGCAATTTCTTGAGCAAAAAAGTAGTTTTCAATTTTCTAATTGTCAGAAAATCTGGCACAGTTTTTCAGTATTTTTCAGGAGATCAGAGATATTTTCCTGGAAAAGTTATCTTCTTTATGAGTTTTGGGTATTTGATATATTTTTTCAGGTTTAATCTTTTAGATAATGTTCTTGATAAACAAACAGCTGTTTTACTCTAGTGGTGGCTCAAACGCTTTATTTGGAAAAACAAGTATAAAAATAGAAAAATAAAAATTGTAAAAAAAAATATAATATTATACAAGACGATAAACAATTTTTATCGTCTTGTGTATAATATTTCGTTTTTTTGTACCAGAATTTCATGAATAGAAACAGTAAATAAAAATTACTTCATTTCACCAGACGATAAAAGACTACTTTATTTACTGAAATTAGTTGATAAAAGCACTCTTTAACATTGAGTACAAAATAAAAATAATTGTTATATGGTGTGTGGTGAGAAAATAGATTAATTGTATAAACTTTTAAATATATTTTTAAATAATATTTTTGATTTTTTTTTTTAAACCTTTTTAACTTTCTTATTTATCTACTTTGAATACGACTTGTTCTTACGGCAACGGCCATACCACGTTGTAAAGCACCAGTTCTCGTCCGATCACTGAAGTTAAGCAACGTCGGGCGCGGTCAGTACTTGGATGGGTGACCGCTTGGGAACACCGCGTGCCGTTGCCATTTTTTCCATAATAATTTTTACTCAAATTTTTATTTATATTTACGCTAGTTTATTAATTTAATTAATTTTGACATGAAAATCGCAATTTTCGTTCTACTTTTTGCACTCACTTTTACTAAATTTCTAAAAATGTTTCTGCAACGTATAATTGAACGTATGGTATAATAACTGTTACATTGATCTATTATACCCCAGGTACCTCAAGTACATAGATAAATATTAAATTCTATCACACATAAAAGTACCATAACTTTATTTTTTTATAGGTACATACCTACTATGCTTTCAAATAAATTTCTGATCGAAGAGTCCAATGATTTTGAAATTAAGTTGGCAACATTGACCTTCAAATTCAAACATCACACTTTTATCATTCATTATTTTCAAAGGGCGGCCGTTGGTATGGCTGTCACCTAACACGATCTGATATAATTAATAATTCGTTGTTGCCAACTTAATAATAATAATAATAAAATAATAAATAATAAAAGTGAAAAAATATAAATTTGTGTGTAAATAACCACGAACTGATTGGATATCAGGTGAAATAAGTTAAAAATAATAATTACTAACTAATTAAATAAATTTTTAAAGATTTTTTTTTGAATGGGTACACCGCGTGCCGTTGTCTTTTTTTTTTCTTAATAATTTTTATTCTTAAACTTTTTTCACCCTATAAGAAGAATTAACAAAAAACAATATCAGGTTTCAGAAAACGGTGTTATTTTGCTAATGTGTAACCAACCACATGCTGTTGTCTTTTTTTAATTTTTGAATTAAAATACTTAATTGTAGTGAGTCTACTTATAATCTTATAAAATAAATGTATTAATTTCAGTAAACAATAATTTTTAAAAAACTTTTAATTCCAAAAGTATTTCGAAATTTGACTCCATTTTGATTTTCTAATAGATCTATTAAAAAATGCGACGTCTTGATAGTCAAACGGAGACTAATAAATCATTTAAAATTAAAGGACAAATTACAAAAAATATCATTTTATACAGGGTGTTTCACACAACTTTACGAGGCTTGCGCCTAATGTACGCAGCCAAATATACAAAATTCACAAAACACTGGATACAAAAAATACACATTTAATTATTCAATTTTTGTAAACTCATGACAGTAGTTGTCAAACTAATCACTGTTTTATTAATAGTCATAAACTGCAGTTTTTCAGAAACAATTATCATGTGTTCCATCAAGAGACGGCATGAATATGATTGTAGTTTATCTATCTTAATCACTAATTAACTAAAAACGTTGTAATTTTTGAAAGGGTGAACAAACTAGAAAAGATTATCTAATTTTTCAAAATTTGTAATCGTGTTCGTATCGGAATATGTATTATTGATTGCATTTTACAGGCACAGGTCTCGTAAAATTATATGAAACACCCTGTATTTTATTCTTTAAACTTCAATTCGTGTTTTAAGACTGGTCTGATGAAACTTGGTTTTTAATATACAATTGTACCCTTTACAAGAGTCTATAAAATATAAAGTTTTATTACACTTATTGGTTTAGTAATTAAATCGTTAAATTATAGACTAAAACACTGGTTAAAAAACTGAAAAAATTGAAGTTGTTATGCAATCAAATATACACGCAATGTCTTGACGCTGACCCACATTTTCGAATTTCCCGCCCGCTTCAAGGTCAATAATCTTCACATGGCGCATGTAATTTGAGTGCCGCTTCAGTCCGTGGTGTGATAAAAACAAATTGATAAACGCACAATCGCCCCAATGCCATTATTGTTATGTGTCGCATGATGTCTTTACGGGATTCCCACGCCTGAAATGACATGAATCCTCGTCATTAAACCCAACAATCGTCCATCCGAAATTAGCATGGCGGACGAACACAGCAGCGAAGAATCCGACAACGACAACCAAGAGGAATTGGCAGGTGTGTTGAGTAAATGGACTAATTATATACACGGATGGCAGGACCGTTATATCGTTTTGAAAAATGGAACTTTGTCGTATTATAAAAGCGAACAGGAAAGCGGGTACGGATGTAGAGGAGCTTTATCCCTTGCCAAAGCAGTTATCAAAGTATGTTTTCATTTTTATTGGTTTCTTAAGATCGGTTGTTTGACAGTTGAATGTGTTTCACGAGGTGTTTTTGTTGCAGCCCCATGAATTTGATGAGTGCAGGTTCGATGTCTCCGTCAATGATTGTGTCTGGTATCTTCGAGCCGATTCTGTTGAAACCAAACAAATCTGGGTTGATGCGCTAGAGTCTTACAAGGTATGACAAACAGCATTTCTAATAAATTTCTAATAAAAAATAAATATAACGACTCAATATGACGATTTGTTAAACTTTGACATATATTGCCATGGCAACCGGTTACTTTAAAATTTCCCGCCCCCAAGTTTCAAATCCGCTAAAAAACTTCATTTAAGTTCCAAATTTGCACAAAGAAAGCTGTGGAGCAGTGACAAGAGAACCAAGCGACTGTCATCCACAAAACGTGATATTTTTGTAATTGATTTAACCTCAAAATACCGTTGCAATGTTGCCATTTTTAGATTTTATTTTAGTACCGTGTAAAACCGTGTTTTATAATATTTTTTTCACTACTAGCTTATTTATTTACCCAGATATACAACGGTGAAGAATATAACCTTCACAACTCAATTCACAACTATTATTTTTGTTAATTTATTATTACCTACAGTAATTCATTACTTACCTGACTTACTAATTTAAGTTGGAAGTATTATTTTATTATCGTAGATAAGGTTATGTCTTTTTTTGCTTATGTATCTATTAAAGGAATTTTTTTAACTTGTGAAAAAATGTTAAAATTTGACCTACTACCGGTATGTAAGCCCATTTGTTGTTTCGACAGGCAGAAGAATTAGAGGTGGGGTTATTCTGTTGTTTTTTAATGAGGAAGCTTAAGTTTTTTTTATTATTCTAATATTCTAGATCTATTTGTAATAGTGTAATACCCTCCAATGTCGATATTTATCCACCTCTAATCCATTATTGCCATTGAAAATGATTATTGAATAGGGAGGAGAAAACAACTCGACAAACTAAATAATACTACCTTTTACAACCAATGAAAAAACAGAATTTAAATAATTAGCGATTGTAATGAATTTGAATGTGCATTTTAATAATTTATTTCTATTCAGTAATAATTAGAAAAAAATATATTTTCCATTTTTTTTTAAATCGGATATAAAACATAATAGGCAATTGTAAAGATCATTCAGACTGCGTTTTTTACTTTAAATGCAAACATTTTTAAACGAGAAATTCATTTCGAAACCTGTCATATTTCTGAGAACTGTAGATAAAGGTTTAGTGGAATTGAAATATTTTGTTAGTTCTCATTAATTTTTATTACTTGAGAAAATGATGTGTTCTGTGATTGTTTTATTATTTTATATTATCAATATGATTTCATCCATATTTTTGATGCACAAAAAGATAAAGCCAAAATAAATATTTCCAATTTTTAGATATTTTTCATTACCTACTAAGATGTATTTTTGCTTAAATTATTTAAATTACAGCCATTAGGCTGTAAATTACAGGTAATTACTCTAAACTGAATTTACTAAATTACCATCTTTCCATTGCGAATTTTTGAAGGATTACCTTGACTAAATAATTGACTACATCACTTGTATCAACATTACTTTAACTTTTTTTTGTTTTGTATCATGTAGATTTTTATTATTGTTACTACTTTTTCTGAACGGGGAATTGTACGAATTTTTTTATGTTAATTTAAGTACCACATTTTTGTGTTTATTTCATAAATAACATTAACCGTTTCTAATATTCTGCAAATGTAAACATTTTGTGGAAATTTTACGAACGTACATACATTTTTTAGTTGATTTTAATTTTACGAAGAGTAACGTTATGGTGAGTAATAATTGTACAAGTAGCTATTTGACATGCCACATTAAGGTGTGGGCTTGAACATTGAAGATATTAATAGCATCAAATTGATTTATATAAACTTTAAGTGACCACAATCTTGAATTATTAAAGAAGATTCATCTATTTTTAAATTTTGTAACACTCGAACTAAAGATAACCCGAATTTGTTATCATTTTATTAGCAATAAATATTTATTTGCTAGTACTTTAAAAAATAATAAATACAGTGCATTGCACTTAATGTGTGCGTAATTTTTTTTAACAAACTGTCATTTGATTTTGTTTTTAGCACAAAAATGTGGTATACACTAAATATTAATACCGTGCGATCAAAAAAAAAAAAAAATTGAGTAGGCATCGATTAAATTTTACAGTTAGCAACACATTGGCTGGGTATCTGGGCTGGAAATATTTCACACAAACTGAAAGTGAAAATGACCATTCACCGTTTTCGTCTTGTACAGCATTTTTGTAATAACTTGCAACAATAAAAATTTTCTGCTCTAAAGTGAACATTATTTCACTGAAAATGAATAAAACGCAAACTTGTCAAAGTTTCCACTGACATTTGATGTCAAAAATTAGTATTGCCATCTGAAGGACTTTAATTACTGTCTACTCTCATTTATTTTTTTTTTTGGTCGCACGGTACAAAATAAACAATTGATTTTAATTAACGAATATCTAGAATCTCATCTTGATACAGTCGGACACACGTCGTGCTCCCAAATACCATTTACAATGCACGCAACACGTCCAACCTTCAAATCGCATTAAATCCCACATGTGGGTCTTGAATAATACGACGTAGATACATAACAATACAGTTCATTATTGCGAATCGTTTAAATACCAGTTTTTAATCGTTTCCGTTTTTTAAAATAATTTAGATAAAAAACTGTGTTAGGAATTCTTTTTATGTTAATTAGCAAATTGCGATAAAAAGAAAACAGAGCAGTGATGGATGTGTCAAATTTACAAAATAGATTTAGGTACAGTTGGAGACAAAATACTTTGGTCGTCACTTTTCTGACACTTTAATGTAATTCAAGCTTTAACGTTAAAATAAATGACAGATATTATATTTTCCTATCAAAATTATGTACATACAACTTGCCAACTGTGATTGACAGTAGCTAAAAATAAGGTTAACAAACAGTCCTAAAGCATGCTTTACAATTTAATGTCACTGAAGTGACATTGACGACCAAAGTATTTTGTCTCCAACTGTACTTTTAGTTTTTTTTTTGCCATTTTTACTTTATTTTTTTAGTTGGAGTCCGGCTATGGTACTGGCTCTGAGAACAGCTTGAAACGGCATGGCTCCACCGTCAGCCTCCAGTCCAACACCTACAGCACCGCTTCCGGAAACAGCTTCAAACGTTCATCTCGCAATTTGCGCGAAAAGCTTGCCGAATTGGATACTTTTAAAGATATTTTATGCCGACAAATTGAAACTCTCCAAGAATATTTCGATTATTGTGTGGATAATGAAGCACAAAATGTATCAAATAAAGGTATTCCTGTAAAATTTATGAAACGAGAAGGAATTTTAAGGTTTTCTTCCAGAAAAATTGCCTGCCATTGATTTTAAAGGTGAAGCGATAACGTTCAAGACTACCACGAAAGCAGTTTTGGACACTTTGGAGCACTGTGCCGATTTGGTGGCACAAAGAGAAGAATCATGGCGTAGCAGACTTGAGAAGGAAATCGAACGAAGAAAAAGGAGTGAAAATCTGGCGAAAAGCTACTTTGCACAACTCCAGAAGTCGAGGGTTGTGCATCCAGGCCCGGATTTGGAGGTAATTGGGAATAATATAAAGGAATTTTATCATAAATACAGCGTGTTTCACATAATTTTACTGCGCCTGTAAGATGCAATCAATAATACTTATTCCGATACGAACTCGATTACAAATTATGAAAAATTGGATACTCTTTCTCTAGTTTGTTCACCCTTTTAAAAATTACAACGTTTTTAATTAGTTAGTGATTAAGATAGATAAAGTAGAATCGTATTCATGCCGTCTCTTGATAGAACAAATGATAATTGTTTCTGAAAAACTGCAGTTTATGACTATTAATGAAACCGTGATTAGTTTGACAACTACTGTCAGGGATTTCCAAAAATGTGACTTTTGTGTATTTGGGTGCGTACAGATTTGTCAACAAGAAATTACCACCTAGGATTTGAACTTTTAGGAAAATTACGTTTTTCATGTTGTTTGTAACTAGAATTTTCAGAAGTAGTTTTGTATGCCTAAGGTTGTTACCCCTTGTTGTTGTCAATTGACGTTTTCTGTCAACCTGCTGTCAATTTTCAATTATACATACAACCTGACAGGTGACTTAACCTAAATTTTGACACTAGTGACGATATCTTTTGTCACCAGAAACCAACCTAATCAAATTTATGGCAACCTATTCACAAATATCCCTAAATCCTAGGGAGTAATTTCTTGTTGATACGACAATACATTAGGTGCAAGCCTCGTAAAGTAATGTGAAACACCCTATATAAAATGGTCATGCGCCATCTTTCTTAATTGATTCGCAATTTGACAATCAATGACACGAGCACAGTGACGTTTGTGAATCTGACAGTTTTGTTATTTTTTTTAACATGTTTCTTCACATTATTGAGATAGTGCAACAAAATCGTGTCAGTTATTAAATCACCATGCGTAGTGGCTATGTAACAAGATTTATCAAGAGATTCCTGACGATAAATGTAAAGGGTTTGTTTTTATATTTTTTGGTATTAGTTTGTTGTCTTGACTCAGGTTTGTACTCACTGACACTTTTTTTGCTTATTGATGAAATTGTTAGCGTTTAAAAATTTAAGTAGGTTCGATTTATTCGTAATTTAGCGGGGCGTGATGACGAAACTATCACACCATTTGATTTCATGAATAATGATTAGTCATACAAAAACAGACGTGCTTTGTGTTAGCAATGTGGTAGTAATCTAGACACAACACTGTAGTAATTCAATTAGATGTGTTGGTGAGCTCTTCAGTAAAGCTGTGTTCTGCTTTAAATTAAACCAGAGTTTTGATTTTAAAATGAAAGTGAAGGAGATTATTTTTAAACGATGTAAACAGAAAGATGTAAGTTTGTGTTTCGACTCTTAAACCCATTCATAATTCTATAATTATTTCTTACACAATATTTCCCAGAGTGACAAAAATTTGCACACAATTTGAGTCAAGAAGATAATTGTTTTTGTCCCTATTTTTTTTTTTTTTTGTTATTATTCAAACCTTTTATTTTGTAAGATTAATTACTCGAAAATAGAGGTTAAAAATAAATAAATAAAAATAGATATTTTTTTATTGTACCAGGAAACAGATTGTAGGGACTTAAATCAGTTCGCAAAATAGCGTATACAAAAAATATTTTTTTGCTGATTTGATTTTTTAACAGAAAGCGATTAAAGTTTGCAAAATAGAACAGTAGTGATGGATTGACCAATTAAAGTACAACAAGGTCTTGAACCAAAAGTGTTTTAATGTATTATTGGTTGATGAAATATTTACGACTAAATTTTTATTTTATTCAAGACACTTAGTACATGTCTACTTAAATATATTCCAATTTTTCATTATAATTATAATGTTTCCAATACGAAAAACTTTTAAAAATGTCAAAGGTTAATGACTACAATTGCTATTGTTGTCATAATAACAAATTGAAATTAATCTAATTAATATATTTTGTTGTGCGAGAAACAAAAAATGAGTACAAGTCAGAAAATAAATAAATATTTATTTATTTTATAATTACTGAAAAAAATACCGGATGACTGTAAATGATCGTGATTTTTATCCTCAAGTTGGCGTCAAATTTAACCTTGAGTTTCAAATTTAAACGTCAAATTCTTGTAGGCAATTGTCATTCATTTGTTTAGTGACGTCTAAGCTTAATATACAAACCAAACTTAATATACCGGGTGACTATAAATGTTTGAGACAAGAAAATCTATTGTAACAGTGGTAACACTGAATTTTGTTATAGATAATTTGTTATACAAGGTGTTTTATAAAAAGACAAAAAAAGAAAAATGCCAAGTTAAAATAAGATACCAGGAACATGAAAAAAATGTTTAAAAAAGTCTCTGTCAAAAGTTTTTGACACTTGACATTTTTTATGCCTATTGTTACCGATAATCTTGTATAAGTACGATTTTTTATAATTATTCAATAAAGGTAACAAAAACTTTGTCAATAAAAGCTACAAATAATGTTAAACATAGTTACAATTCAGGATACAGCTTCTTTGTTTCCTGTCTAACAAAAAAAACATGTAAAATATAAATAAGGTCAAGGTGTAAAATCTAAACCTCAATAATTTTCAAATTCTTATACATAATTTTTAACTTTTTTTCATGTTCCTGGTATCGTATTTTACTTGGTATTTTTCTTTTTTTTTTGTCTTTACAAAACACCCTGTAGATATTACATTACGAGGATTGCCAGTGTTCCAAATACCGTGCGATCAAAAAAAACATTTAGAGTAGGCGTCGATTAATTTCTACAGTTGGCTGGGAATCTGGGCTGGAAATTTTCCACACAAAAAAAAGTGAAAATGACCATTCACCGTTTTCGTCTTGTACAGCAATAAAAATTTTCTGCTCTAAAGTGAACATTATTTCACTCAAAATAAATAAAACGCAAACTTGTCAAAGTTTCCGCTGACATTTGATGTCAAAAATCAGGATTGCCATCTGAAGGACTTTAATCACCGCCTACTCTAATTTATTATTTTTTGATCGCACGGTAGATTTTCTTGTCTCAAATACTTATAGTCACCCAGTTTATTAAGCTTCATTTTTATTATAGCATCCTAGTACCTACTATTAAAATTGTAGTCGAACTAGGAACAAGATTAAATAATTCCCTGAATTTTTGTTTTTTTTTATTATGATTTAAACAGTTTATATTTATTAATTTATTAATTATATGTATAATAAAGTTTTTATAATTATATGTTTTTGAATATGTTGCTAATAAATTAGTAAAATTATTTGTAATAAATAAAACTAGAATGAGTTAAAGATTTTAAAAGTATTAAAACAGTATAAACTAATAGAATATTTGAAATGTTGTTTTCAACGTGCTGTGATTATTTATTTTTCATTTATAATTAATGATCGAATCTGGAGAGTTTACTTCATTATGAAAATAAAATGCATATTTCGTGTAGTCGTTTTTTAGACAAGAATGTTTTTAAAATGCAAATTTTATTGATTATTAATTACATGGAATTATCCTTTATATAACAGAATTTAACATGTTAGTTCTTATCAAAGATGGTACACATAGCTAAATTTTTATGAGCAAACATCACAATGCCGAAAATTCTAGGTGAATACACTTTGCAGGTTATAATTGAAAAAGTTTAATCAAATAAATGTATCAAAATCTCGATCTTTGTTGGATTTGCAAAAATTTAAACATTACTATTTTTTGTAACATTATTATACAAATCTTAAAATATGTTTGTGATTGAAAATGATTTATTATGGTCTTACATAATGAATTTTGATAATATAAACAGAGTTTATCACTTACGTTACCAATTTTCAAACAATTGAGTAAACACAGGTGTTATAACTTACTCTTGCAAAGATACAGATCAGTTATAAGTGAGCAGAAAGCCGTTTTTCGTCATTTTATCCCTGCTTTAGCTAGTCTATAATATACAAACAGTCGCGTTTGTGTTTACATAATTAATAATCTTTTATACTCTTTACTAGTTATCGGTTTTGACCCAAGAAATTAGATATCAATTCTAAACACACATGTTTTTGTGATCACTTTGTGCTGTGAGATGTCGACGAAATGTTTAACAAACGGATTCGTACGACGAATCAATAATAAAATAACCGAAAAATGTGAAAAATGTGTTTGCAGGAAGGCCCCCATAGCGTGTTGGCCGACGACGAATTCTACGATGCCGTCGAATCCGGTTTAGATAAGATGGAAGAGGAGCAAGAGTTGAGGGAAAGACTGAAAAGCGGCCAAGTAATTCCCGTCACTCCACCTCCGACGTCGCCAGCGGCCTTGCATCGTTTATGGCCAGAAGTAAATATATTTAAGCCTTGATTCGGTTTATTTCAGTTTGATTTTCAGATCGAAAAAGTTGTGAAACAAGAAGTTGCGATGGCGAAGTTAGGTGTAGGTGAATCCGGTAGTGGATGGCAATTGTTTGCCGAAGATGGAGAAATGAGGATGTATAGGAGAGAAGAAGAGGTCGATGGAATGGTCGTCGACCCCCTCAAGGCTGTGCATGTGGTTAAGGGGATCACGGGACACGAGTTATGTCACTACTTTTTCAACCCGCAGTACAGATACGACTGGGAAAGTGAGTAATAGTTTTCTATTAACTATTTCAGGGACGGTGGGTTAAAATTTAACCTTTCAACCTTTTTAACTCACCTTAATTTATATTTTTGAGTAGTTTTGCTTATTAATGGTAATATTTTTAATAATACAGACATTATTCTTGTAGAGTTTACCACATTTTTTTTTATTTACAATCAATGAACTTAAAATTATTATAAAAACTATACAATTTATTAATTAATTTGAAATAGAGTTCATAGAAACCAAGAAGGATATCGATAGGCGGAGCCAATGCGTACTTGGTGTAGTGGGGAAGCTTGAGCAGTGGCGTAACACAGAGACATTTTGTGGTAAAAAGGGAATTGTAGAGTTGCATTTGTTTTTCGTTTACTATTGACTGAGATATTAAATATAAAAAATTCATACGATGCTCCACGATTATTTCAAATATACGGTGATATTAATTATTATTATTATTAATTAATAAAAATAGATTCGTTTAATAAAAGTGTAAAAAACAATTTTTGTATCATAATTAATTTTAATTAATTTTTCAAAGTTAACATTTATAAGATGCCCCTAAGTGGGTATAATAAACATTTTTTAGTGATGTTTTGTTTTCATACCTAGTCAATAAGATGTAAGAAGATGAACCCTCAAATTTTTACAAAAATTGTTATGGGTTTAAATCAGAATTACAGGCGATTAATTTTTTATATAACTGATGGGCCTTAGTAATTTCAAATTGTCACTTTATACTCGGTAAGTCAAAATAGAATTTTTTACTATAAAACTAATAAAATATATTTGCTATTCTCATAGTTAACTCAACTTGTACACTGCAAATAGTGATTAAAGACTTGTGGTTTGGAAATGGACTTTAATTTTGATAATAATTTGAACCTTATTGAACAATTTGTAATAACTTTCTCACATGGTTACTGAGTATTGCAATTTATAAAAGAACAAATGCCTTAAAAATGTTATTTATTAATAAAGTAATAAAATATTTTCATTACAGTATATGGATTATTTGTTTTCTTCAAATAAATAAGTGCGAATACACGCCACTGCTCTCAACTGATTTCAGAATTCGCCTATATTTACGAATGAATTCGTCCGCGACGAGTTTTCGTCTCTGCGCATCCCTTCCATCGATATCCTTCTTGGTTTCTATGAACTCTAACTACATTTTCATGATACTTATTTTAACTTAAAAAAATTGAATTGTTTTTTGAGAATATACACATAATGGATAATGATTATTATAAATACAACGAGGAAAAAAACAAAACAAAAAAATTTTCTTTTATTGAGATTGGAATTTCGATCCTTGGGTTTATCAGGCAAATACTTTCCTATTTTGACTAGTAGGCTTCGTGATGTCATTGAGCATTTCCAACCTATTTAGGTAACCACTTTCGCTTAACATTACGTTGATAAAATTTTGCATTTTTACTAACTGTATTTCGTATTATTCTTAGTTTTTTGAGATATGAGTGGTATCTCCTTATGTTGTGGAAAATTACAACAAAACATGAACTTTGTTGATAAATTTGATCAGTTGATGACGTACAGTGATGGACAGTGCATTTCGTCCACCCAATTTCTGTGAATTCACAAAAATTCACTGTAGCCTGTGCTTTATTGTCATGATAACTGACACTGTCAAGTTTAATTAAATTCTTATTCATTTTGGACCGTCTAAAAATGGATACCTCAAGCAATGTAAGACAAAGCACAGGTAAAAAGTATGTAAGGTCATTTTATCAACATGATAAATGTTCATCAAAGTTCTCAAACAAGGTTAGAAAAACCTAAAGACTAATTTACACTTTTAGTCTGTCATGGAAATTGGTTGGACAAAATTCACTGTCCGTCACTGTACTCAATTGAAAAAATCATAAATGGTGGCACTGAATTTTTTTCTAATTCGTTGATACTTGCATTATGTAGAATCTCGAAGTAACTGGCAGTGTGTAACTTGTAGAGTGTCTCTTTGTTAAGGCAAACCGAAAAACTGCTTTAAAGCATATTATTACAAAAAATAATAAGTATTGTTAGCTATCGTACGTATTATTTAGTTTGCTTTTGTTTTTATTATTTGTTGTTATTTTTCTTTGTTCATTTTAATACTATATTTTATTTTCTTAATTCATTTTTTTAAATGCCTATTATGTCTCTAAATAGACAATGACTACTTCATATTAAAAATGCTTTGAAATTATTAAAAATGTACGAGATTTTATAAGGGTTTCATGAAGTTAATGAGATTACCGGAGAAAGTAAAAAAATCTGAAATCTAAAATAATTGGTCATAGACCGATGAAAAACTGTCGTTAGTGCTATTTTAATACCTATTTTTTAAAACAACTTGAATAATGATTATTTTTAAAATCCAGTAAATACAGTACCTGTACGGTATTTTAAATACATTAAAGTTTGTACCTGAAAGAGTTAACGATAGAAAAAGGTTTGTTTACATCTCGGGAGTGTAGGTAAGGCATTTTCATTAAAACAGTTGTTAATTTCGTTGATTATGTTTAGCCACATTGGAACACATGAACGTGCTCGAGACCATATCTGAGGATACTTTGGTATTTCACCAAACACACAAAAGAATATGGCCGGCGAGTCAGAGAGACGTCGTTTTTTGGTCGCATTTGCGTCGATTTCCCAACGATCAAGACCGAGACGGCCCTGATATTTGGACTGTGGTTAATAACTCCACTGAGCATCCTGATCATCCTGTAGGTAATACAGGAAACTGTAATGCGAGTTGTTGATTGTTTTTTTTAGGCGAATGCGGGTAAATGTGTAAGGATTTTTTTGACAGTATGTCTTTTATGTCAAACGCGAGTTGATCCACCGAAAGCCGGAGCACCAGTAACTAGAGATGACATTACCTGTAAAATAAGTTATTGTTCTGTCGGTAAGTTAGAGTTCTGATTGGTTGAGTTGGTGTTGAGTTGTTGGTGTTTCAGTGAATCCTGGGGGATGGGCCCCGGCGTCGGTACTCCGGGCTGTTTATAAACGAGAATATCCGAAATTTTTGAAGAGGTTTACTGCTTATGTTAAAAACCAAACGAAAGATAAGCCTATTATGTACTAAAACATAAGAATCTTTTTTATGGTTTACATTGTTAATTTTATTTATATTTCGTATATTATTAAATGTTATATTCTGTTCTTTTTTGTTTTTTGTTTTTCTTTTGGATGTATTGAATCCTTAAAACCGTCCCTAACTAGTTGTTGCTTTTTAGTGTTTTGTTTCTATCATTTTGATTGTTTTCTGCATATGTGTAAAAATATTTGTAAATTTAAATGTTGAAGACTGCTTAAAATTGTTGAGACCAGTTGCCTTGATAGTGTGAAAAAAATAACTTGTATAACATTGAATTTATGCTTTGCATTTCTGTAAATTGAAAAATGTACTCTATGTAAGATACAAGAAACGATGTTTTCAAGTTGTGTGTAGTTTATATTTTATCATTATATCGTCATTTGCACTTTGTTTATTGAACTTTCATTCTGACTTCTTAATTTTTTGTCTAATTTTTTATTAGCACCTATTTATCAAGAAAAAAATAGTCACAAAAGGCCTATAACAGTCGTGGCAAGTATTTATTAATTGCCCATGCAATTTTCATTGTTTTTTGACTACCTTGTATAAAAAAAGTTAATTTTGTGACAACAAATCAAACAAGTTTTTTTAATAACCCAAATAGAGAATTTGATCATGACATTGGCATTACAAATATGATTTTAATAGCTTTCTCCATGCTCGCTTTTTATTCGTGTAAGAAAGTAAATATGTAGGCACATAAATTTGCAATGAAATAAAGCACCACCAACAATAAACACTTTCACGAAATCTTACAATTAAATACGACAAAAAAATGTTTCTTCAGTGATGCAATAATTAACTCATCATTGTCTTTGTTCTTTAAATAAAACAAAAAGGTACCAAAAATAATTTTATTGACTAGTGAATACAAAAATCCATTTGGGTGTTTGCTGTTAAAAAACAAAAGTCCTCAATTCCTATCAGCTAATTCCCTTAATATACAAAAATAATAACAAGAATAATATGTTAACAAGTGGGATTTTTATCAGTGTATGCCTTCCAAAGGTGTAAAGGTTTTGTACTGATAAAGTTTATCGTCTCCGTATCCGTACAAAAGCCGTCCAACACCGTTTTCATCATAATATGGATATCTGTATTTCGGCCTAAGAAAAAATAATGTTGGCAATTATAAATGCTTGTGTAATTCACCTACCGTTCGAAGTACTGGAAATTGGGGGCGCGAGGCTGAATTGCCATCGACATTGTTGCGCACAATGCGAAGTGAAGAATCTAAAAAACAGTACGTGTGGCAATTTTTTTTCAAATTGTACACTTACCAAAACAGAAAAGTATTTGTTCATGGTATTAAATTTACACTTTTACTCTCACCGATGGACAAATGAGTAATATTAAAGAGTGAAACTTACTCAACGAAATGAAAGAGAAAGTATATCTACATTGACTTTGCCCCACCTGACAGGCTTGTTACTACTGGACATTAATAAGCCTATTTGTATTCGAGACGTTGAGATAATCATCAGAGGACAGTAAACAAATATTTGGAAAAAGGGCCATAAATTTAGTTTATACAGACCAAAAATTGATTAATTTTTATTTTATAATTATTGGTAATGGGAAATTTTTATCCAATTATAACAATAATACAGTTTTTTATCACTATCGACTGTCTTGCATCAGCAAAAATCGCCTTATTTTGGCAGAAAACGATGAGTTGTGCCGAAATTTGTTGACTTACAATAATTACAAATCGTTAGAAAATAACTTTTAAATTTTAGGTACCTATAAGTCCTTCCATCGAGAAATTAGTGAAATAAAAAATTTACTAGACAGTACGCGCTAAAAAGTAGTACATCGTTAAATTAAAATTTTTACTTTAAAAACAATTATTTAACAAAAATAATTCAAAATTTTTCACCTACAAGTTTTGAATTCGAATTTGACAAAACCACAAAACATGACAAGCCCGCAATAATCAGCCCTGAAATTGACCTGTTTTAGTGATTTTAATGTTTTTAGTATATTTAAAAATCTATCGCGGTAAAATTTATATTATATATATCTCCTAATAATTTGACTGATTATTATTTACAAAATTTTGTTTTTTTTGTATTTTTTATTGACAAGTATATGGAGAGCGTTTTAAACACCTTTTGTAGAACAAAAATTAAAAACCTTCAAATTAAAAAAAACGACCCTTCGCGCTGTTTCAAAAAAATAGCACTATATTTCCAAAATAAGTAAAGGTAGAAATTTAAAAAAATATCTTAAACGATAGAATTTAATTAAATATTTTCAACCACTTTCACTAAAAGTTAGTCTAATAATAAATTTAATAAGTTATGGAGTTGTGATATACGCCACCAGTAAAACAAGAGTAACAACATGGTTATCTACTGAAACCGATTCGTTAAACAGCGGCGTGCACTTCTTCCAGACCCGTAGTTAGAAAAAATTTTAGTGGGGCTAGAATAGTTCTGGTTCTGCAGTTTTTTTTTCAAAAAAAAAAACAGGTCAGTTTTTTTCTAAATGCTATATTTTGACAATATAGTGGCATTTAAGACGTCATTCGTTTCTGAGTTGTGACGTCAGTTTTATTTTTTTTTTAACGACAAATGACATTTTTGTTCACTGTTTTAAATAGCACACATCTTTATCTTCCTGGAATTAAAAAAAATTAAAATGAAATTAATACTAAACAAAAAACCACGCAAAAAACAATCACTACTTATAAATTAAAGCTGTTTGTATGGACCTTTAAATTTTTAAAGTTTTTTTATTTTATTTTCTTCTTTTTTGCATTTTTTTGCTTTATCTTTTTGAATTTTTTATGCTTACCAGATAGATAATGATGTGTATTATATAAAACAGTAATAAAAAATGTCGGTTGACAAAAAAAAATTCAAAATAAAATTACTTTTGGTTCAGTTTGTACATATTATAACTTTATGCGTTGTTATTTCTAAAAAAGTTGACAAAAAAGACAAAGCTTTAAAGTAGGGCTCAGAATATTTAAAGTAGGGCGTAGCCCTACTTGCGCCGCTCTAGCTACGGGCCTGACTTCTTCTACGAAAACAACAAATATGCTACAATAGTTTCAAAAATATGGAATTTACTGTTCTTACGTAGTTAACTCAAAATAGGGTAAAAATAAAAATTAGTAACGGCACACGGTGTTCTACATTGACTATGAAATTCAAACATCACCTGACATTGATATCACCAATAATTCAGTGTCGCTAACTTATTTTTAAAGTCATAGATTACGATCTAAAATTTTACAAAAATTAAATAAATAAAATGGTAAAATAGGACGTTGGTAATAATAATAAGTTCCCAAAAAAATAACAAATTTTAAGGCTGTAACATTTTTTTAATGCGTTGCATTTGTAAAAATAAAAAATTAGGAAGTTTGTTCAGAAACTTAAAAAAATTAAATGGAAGACTCTATTTATTGTTTTTGCAAGAGATTATCAAATTGTCTTCTTACATATCTTTTTTACATTTTAAGATTTAAAGGTCAATCATAATGGACATTGGACTTTATTAACTCGCTGAGACACCCTGCATATTTTTTGTTACCAATTCGAATGCTTAATAATAATAAAAAAGGTTGAAAAGGGAGCTTTTTCTCAAATAAAAATTAAAAATGTTTTATTTTGCTAAAATCAAGCAAAAGCAAAAGTTTTCCAATCAATTATAAAGTAGTATACAATAAAAAAGTAATTAGAACAGAAATTAGAAAAACTGTTGTAATTTAAGCATTAAATGTCTATAAATATTTTTTTATTTAGAAAAACTTCAGTTAGGTTCTAAAATGTTCCTCTTGTTCTAAGAATAATAATAATGAACAAATATTTTGCAAAATAAAAATCTCTTTCAACGACTACTACGATATGAAAACGATAGTTTCAAATAAATTAAACCTGTGAATTAGAAATTAAGTTGGCTACATTGACTATGAAATTCAAACGTCACCTGACATTGATATCACCAATAGCTCATAGATCACGATAATTTTACAAAAATTAGTGTTCCCAAAAAAAAGTGGCAACGGCACGTGGTGTTCCCAAGCGGTCACCCATCCAAGTACTGACCACGCCCGACGTTGCTTAACTTCAGTGATCGGACGAGAACTGGTGCACTACAACGTGGTATGGCCGTTGCCCCAAGAATTTCTTGTGTTCCACGAACATGAATTTCTAAATAAAGTGGTTTATGACTGAAATTAAGTTGGCAATATAGAATTATTGGTGATATTAATTTGATAATTTATATTACTTAAAAGTCAGTGTCAAATGTAATTGGTAATCAGGGCGGTCTATGACTTTAAATTTAAGTTGGCAAAATCGAAAATTGTAGAAACGAGGTACAAAACAAATAAAAATGTTTTACTTTTGTGATATTTCCTCTTAACTTATGCTTAGTCCAAAATAATATTTAATTTAGTTTTAACAACGGTAGTGACTAGTGATAAATAATTTAAACACACAAACCAAATGGTGGTCCTTGAAAATTGTCAACTTTACACTGTATCAAAAAAAAAAGAGAATTTGCCGTAGCATCTAAAATTATTATTAGTCCTACCTCTATTATGACTATGAATTCCAAGTGTTCAAGACTTTAAAAAATAGTCGTTAAGTTTAGAAAAGGCAAAATTCGTAAATGTAACAGAGACAAAAATTGCGTGACTGGTTTCAATATGAATGAGCTTAGCGACTTAGCGTAAATAAAATCATCAAGAATATTCTGCATAATCACTGAGTAAAAACAACAGCGCAATTATTAGGACAGAAAATGTTATTAAAATCTTGCTTAACAAATTGAAAACCTCTTCTTAACTTGCCCAGGAAATGCTGATGAAATACGTACTCAAACATTTACTTTATTTCAAAGAATTTAGTAGGTCCCACATGAAATTAGTTTTAAATAGGAATGTTAATTAATGTTCTAATGTTCTCTGATTTGCTCATAACACGTTTAACAATTTTCAATAAGGCAAAAAATCTTTCGAAAAACCAATTCCATTTCAAATTTAAATAACAACATTACAACTATACTTTTTAGATCAAATGAGTCATAAATGTAAACTTTGTGTAAAATAAAAAAACTAATTTATGACACACCCGGTATATGACTTGACCTCACCTAATATACTCGCTCGCTATGTAGTGTTTTCATAATCTATACTCAGTTAAATTTCTACACCGCAGCTTGTGTAAATTAAGTAAATCCATACGTCAAATTACAAATGTTACAACTGGTGCAATGTTAAAAACCTGTTTCGACGAACTTTCGGTTCTTCGTTGAGACAGAGGATATTGCAGATCCATTTTTTCACTTCACCGGCAATAATATTCAGTCCATAATCTACAATTATACAGGGTGCTGCATTTTGGATGTCCGAATAGGGAATCTCCGAAACTAAGAGGTTTAGCCAAAAACGAGTATACATTCTGGGGCTCATTTTTTGAGAAAATAATATTGGTTAAAACCGCATCGCGCTATCGTCTTTTGTTTTCGACTTATAGGTAAAAGTTGATATTTTGGCGAAATGTAAAAAAATTCATATCTTCGTTATTATAGAAGATACGGATTTGAAATAAAGACATTATACAGGCACTTTTTTACGAGGAATTTAATAATGTAGTTAACAATTTTTTCAGTTATTAGTTTAGCCGTAATAAGATAAACTTGTATTTTTTTAAATGGAAAACATAGGCGGCTATGGCAATTTTGAAAAGCTTATTTTTTCTGATCTAAAAAATATATATTTGTAACAAAATATTTTTTTATAACTATACTTAAAAAGTGAAATACATATTTTGTTTGATAATAGTTGGCCATGGAAAAACTATTTCACTCCAAATGTGTAAATAATAATCAATAAGAGTTTTGTGAACTGTAAAATAGATAAAAAAATATATAAAATTATAAAGATTTAAAAAATACGATACGGTAGAAGCATTAAACAAATATCCGAGCGCCTCAGAACAAAATTATTACATATTTTTAAAAAATCAAAAAATAGGAAAAACAAATGTGTCAACAGTCAACACAATTACAAAAAACATTTTTTTGATGATCTAATGGAGGTAGGATAACGTTTCACATAGACGAAATTTGGGTATTTGAATAGCCATATCGTCATTTTTGTGTCATATAAAATATATTTTATTGAAGAATTAAAGCGGCTTTTTTACAACACTCTATGTATCACTAGAAGTTGCAATGGTAATGTTAGCTTGTTTAAAAACAAAGAAATGTTATTAGTCGCCAATAAGTTGATTTACAATTTATTTTGCATCTTTTTCATCACTTAGTACTTAGAAAACTCTTTCATTAGTGACACTGGTTGAATATAATATAGTTTAAATCCTTTTAGTTGAAGATGCAACATTTTTTCATGGCCAACTGCAAACAAAAATCAAAGATAATTTTTTGCTAAATTTGTTACAAATATATATT